GTCGGAACAAAAGTTTGCAATTTTCATAATTTTTGCCATACTATGGATAAGCGAAAAACAAAGCGAAATTCTAAGCGACGATTTTTTCGTGTGTCTGAGGTCCCCCATTGTTTAAAGTTCCAGCCTTAAACTTTAGTTTTCATGGACCATTTCCAAGAATGGTATCAAAGCTGACACTGATGTGATTGTTGTTTTTGCAGTGGACATCGACTTATTTACGACTCGATTTTAAAGACGTGGCAGCCTTTCTCTTTAATGTTCAGACATGTTTTAAGGGGGTAGTATTTGCTTTATTTTTATAGAACTCTGGAAACCGCTGAGGCCCAATTTGAAGACATCCTTCCTCCAGCAAGTCCGCGCAGACGTGACAATTCTACCCATGACATTTTGTACCTTTGGCTTGTTCCCCTTGCTCCTGGTCGGACTAGTTGGCAGGGATGGCCTCTATTGGCTGCTTCTATACACCTCTGAAGTCCAAAACTGGTCTCTTCTTGTCAAATTCTTGATCATAATTGTAACCAGGGTTTTAGCCATGGTTTGCTTCTACGATGGATGGCTGACCCTGCAATTTTTCATACTTGCGGCCATCTACGTTCTAAGCATTTGTTTGAGACAAATTTCGAATTTGGTGGAATACCTAGATTTAAATGTAGACTGGGGTAGAGCGAGATCCGCCAACTCGAAAGGGCAGTTATCCTGTGCCTTCCACCTTCATAATTGCCTCTCCCTGATCGTGGTTGACATCGAGACTGCGACAAACCTTGCAATCGGCGGTCTTATCGGGTTAGGCTTTGTGATTAGTGTGGCTGCGAATTATGGCGCGATTGTGTTGTATAGCAGACTAAATGCTGCGTCATATATGCCGATCCTTGGCCTGAGCGTATTTGTCCTTTGTGTGATTGCTTTCTTGTGGCCACAAGCCTGCCAATTTTATGAAAAGTCGGAGAAATTCCTTGGAAAGGTGAAGAGGAGAGATATCGGAAAGTATGAAAGACGTGTCGTGAGGTCGATGAGACCTCTGAGAACACCGCCGACGGCGATTGACTATGGTAGAAAGGGCACTAAATCTGCATATGTTCTAGCAATTTTGGAAAATACTGTTAATGCTGTTTTGTGTTTTAAATAAATATCGGTGTTCAGCCATTAAACGTGTAAAATGTTGAATGGCTGAATATTTACATATGGTGGTCTTACACACATAGGCTTGTCGTATAATGTGTACAAATGTCGCTGTACGGGCTTTTAATGTCGAATATAATCTTTCATGGGCACATCTTTTTCGCTAATGTCTCAAAATATCCAAATTAGGTGACAAACACTAGTAATTGCACTATATGTACAAATTTGTATATTGTGTACCTAAATTTGTCTTGATGTGTAAAACCGAAGATGAGATAAACTGTCTAAAATTCACGAATTTGAAGCGAGCGGGGTGATCGAATTGGAGGAAGTTATTATGAAAATAAAATGCATTCTGAGTACATATGTAGCTCAACCTTTCATAAAAGTGCATACTTACATATATATATATTGAAGTTTTTTTTATCTATGAATTTCATGAAAGGGTTGACGCAATCAATTTAGTTCAGATTCACGAAATTTAAGTGGGCAGCGTGATCGGATTGGAGGAAGTCATTTTGAAAATAAACTGTATTCTGAATACTTATGTAGCTTAACGTCTCATAAAAGTGCATACCTCCGTATATTCTAGTTTGTTATATGTTTATGAATGAAAGGGTCAATGCAAGCAATTTAGTCATAATAACAGTTCCTTCAACACTCTATATGTGGTATATTTTATTTTACTATCAGTGAAGCTTTAACATTTTCAACATTTTCTCAATTCCCATTGTTGGGCGATGTCAAAAGGGTCCAAGGGAGCCAGTTCAAGCTTTATTCCACTGTTCGCCGATTCAATTCTACAAATAGGAAACAGACAACCCGAGATTTAGTAAGAAACATACATATAACGACTAAAGCCAGCTGTACCCAGTATTTCGAAGGCTGCTGCGTCCACTGGAATTATACCGGTTGCTGTATATATTCCAGTAGTTGGTGCCACTCACCGGCTCGACATGCCAGTAGCTATCTTGATTTGTGCCCTCATTAAGGTACGGTAGCGTTCCGTTAGTAGTCATTGAATGCTTCCAAGACGTCGATCCACCCAGTACTGATCGAAATATGTAATAGGGTGCTGAAATGAAAAATGGTAAAAAGTCTTCGGTTTCGTGAAACTATAAAATATTGATGCACAAACTATAGGGTTCCAGTTGCCACACTTCTGCCAAGTTGCTGCAATCGTTGCTGATAGTATACGTTTGTATGGGAGTGCCCTTGGTAAGGTTTGCGCTATAAAGATCCAACGCCTACAATTTCATATAAGGTGTCATCTTCTACTTTAGCTGCTCCGGTAGCAAAACCGACATAATTTAACTTTTAGTCCTAATACTTACAAGGGACACTCACGACCTGTCGTTTGAGTCCAGGGTACCCACTATGTTTTTCAGAATCTACTAGGACCCCAGATGAAGGATTCATTCATATTTCTGTGTAAAACTCATATTTGGCGCCATGGCGTGGCGCCAAATTCGCCAAATTTGATGGTTTTTCATTTTAAAACCGCCGTAACTTTTGAAACCCTGGACGGATTTTCAAAATTTTTGGCAAAAATCATGACAAGGAGTTCAACTTTCGTATTCTATGAAATTTTTCCCAAAATTGTCGCTTTTAACTTTTCGCAAAATTTCGAAATTTCGGGTTCGTCGAAAAAATGCTAAAAATATCTCAAAAATTAAAATTTTTTTATTTTTATTTTTTTCTCTAAGATTTCGACTTTTCTGATCATTTTAAGCATAAAATTTTAAAAATCCGACATAAACTGCAAAAGTTATGGGGGTTTGAAATTGGTCGAAAATGCAAATTTTTAAGTTTGGCGCCACGCCATGGCGCCAAATATGAGTTTTACACGGAAATATGAATGGATCCTTCATCTGGGGTCCTAGTAGATTCTGAAAAACATAGTGGGTACCCTGGACTCAAACGACAGGTCGTGAGTGTCCCTTGTTAGAAATACATAAGGAATGTGCATATTGAAAGAGAGATAGGTAGAGGATACAAGACACAATGGTGAAGATATTTAGGTGGTTTCGATTTAATAATAGAAAAAAAGATGAACAAGTGTACAAAGTAATTTTGGTCAATCTCGTTTGAAAATATTGAAAGGCTTTGTGAACGGATGTTTCTCCGACTTTGACAATATGCAAGTAAATACTGCACAATTTGATATCTCTCTTTTAATTTGATACCCAGTTTAAAGCTCCAGCTTGCATTAATTAAATGATCTTATTTTTAGAAGAGCAGCCAATTCTACCCCAAAAGTTTCTTCATAATAATAAATTTTAAGCTCCCAAAATTTGCAATTTTGAGGTGATGTTCAAGTTGTAGGATCAGTTCTTGCTTAGTCGAGTAAATGTCACAAAGTCAGAAACACGTTGCATTTTCTTATGGAACCCAAACATGGTTTTCTGATCCGTCTTACATGTTTTCAAACATATATACAACGAACTATTGAGCAAAATGTTATATTTGTAACCCAGTTTAGAAACATTAAGATCATGTTTCTTGAATATCCACGACGAGCATAAACTTTTAACTTGCCACTGTTAGTCGAGAGGAAAAATGCTTCTTACCGTATTAGATTGAACGTTAATAATTAGGCGAGAATGGTGATCGACTGGCGGCGAAATGTAGGGACTCTTGGTAGTCGTACTTGGCGCAGTGGTGGTCAGCCTGGTCGTAGTTGGGCTTACACTTGGATACTTCACTTCGCAGATGTATCTTCTTAAATCAGTATTCCAAAGTGCTATCCAGTCAGCTAAAAAGCGATTCTTAAAAGAAATACCAATTCTTAACAATGCATTTGGATTGGATGGTGGAGTTCTATTCTCCCAAGGGGCCCATCCACCCACAGGGGTATCGGTGGCTTCCCACCGCCAAATCTCCGACTTTGAATCGTATAATCCACTCGTCCAATAGATGGCACCTAATGGATACAATTCATATGTAAATATGAACTCGGAGCTTAAATAATTTAAATTATGACACGAATGATTAAATAATCACGAAATCTCGATATTCCCGTTGGAATCAAAACTTCCCGTAACTCTGCAAAGCGACTCTTCTATAGATTGTCTGATAATTGAGTGAACTAATAAATTATATTATCTGCTTAACAATGCCGAGCTTGGAGCTGGGCTATTAAAGGCTGAATGTGTTTAGCCCAATTATTTACAAAGTTTATGGTGTCACGTAATTAGCAACCACGATATTTAATAAATAAGAAGGGATTGATCACTAGTCTCGTATTTTAATCCAATATACATAACCTCAATTTTTTCTAACGCGACACTAACAATGGAACCTTTTTTCAAGCTACACCGGGATTGCCTAACGAGTTATGTCAAAAAATCAAGCCAAAAATTAGGAGTTGAATGGCCCCTCTGAAGAAAAATATTGGGGGTCAAAGTTCGAACTTCTCCCTGGTTTTCGCCCCGTGGAGGAAAAAGCAAGGGAAAATTTGCTCAAAAATTAAACTTAACCGCCAATATTTTTCGTCAAAGGGGCCATTCAACGGAAGGAGAAGTGTCACGTGACTCCTAATTTTTGACTTGATTTTTTGACATAACTCGCTACTAGATCCCGGTGTAGCTTGAAAAGAGGTTCCATTGTAAGAATTTGTTCGAATTACCGTATCCATAATCTTCAAGGAGCCGGTTGAGGGCATTTTTCTCCTCCCACGTATCAAGCGTTACGAGGCCAGATTCTTTCCCAAATAGATTTTTACATTCGTTATTTGCATTGGTCCATGACGCCTACAATTTACCATAGGTTCAATTTCAGTAAGATTTGTACGTTAGACTTAACATTAAATGTCCATTAAACTAACAGTAGTTGATACATTTTATGTAGCTGAACATCAGTACAGGAACATACGAACTTACCGCGCTTGCACTGACGTAGTAGTGCCGATAATTTTCCTGCTCCCCGAATAATTCTTTGTGGTGTCCAAGGTACTCCATCTCTATTCGACAAACGAAAAAAATCAGGATGGATTTAATAATTAGAAATAGACCATTATATGTACATATTTAGCAAGGAATGAAACTACCGATTAGGTATTATACATATGGATACCTGCTATCTCTGTAGATTTACACGAATTCAAAATTGTCCCCAGCAAGAAACATGTCGCCATCAATCGAAAAAATTTAAAGGTATCCATAACGTTTTAAATTTAATGTGCTTATGTAAGGCTGTCAAGTCAAAGTTACAATGACCAACTGTGATACCGGCAGTGTGTCAGCCTAAGTATATATATACTTTTCACCAAATAACCATTGGATTATCAGCTTACTTACCAACAGGTGGGAAATCTTGACGGTAATAAACAAGATTTTACTGATCAAGCTAAATTCAAGTGGATTAAACTATGGTTGAAGTAGTGATAACCTGTACTGTTGCCGGAAAGTTTTATTAAAGACCCACCGGATTATCAGCTTACTTGTCAAAAGCTGAGAAGTCTTGTATTGAACCGTAATAAAAAGACTTTACTGAGAATGTAAATCCAAGGGAATTAAATAATCCCCGAAGTTTTGATAACCTGTGTTGTTGCCGAAAAAAATTACCAAATAACCATTGAATTATCAAATTATCTACTTGCCAACTGGTGGGGGATCTTGGACCGTAGTAAAGAGTTTATTAAACAAATAAATCCAAGTGGATTAAGCTACGGTTGAAGCTGTGATAACCTGTGCTGTTGTCGAAAAGTATTATCAAATACCCATTGGGTTGTTAGCCTACATATTTGTCAACATGTGCGCAGTCTTAGCCCGTAATAAAAAGAACTTTACGGCGTAAGCAAATTCAAGTGATTAAGCTACATAAATATGTACATATGCTTTAAGTTTGGATAATCTTCACGGCTGCCGAAGAACATTACGTCAAACTCATAAAACCCTTGAATAAATGGCTTATCCGCATTTAACCTGAAGCTTGGGAACATATGTTTGGTTAAATATCGCACAATAAATCGTGACTTACACAAGGGCAAAAAGTATTTTGACGCATGATGGACGCTGGTTCTTTAATTATGCATGTTACACAGGAATCGGAATGCTACGTTTTAGTACATGGCATGAATCTGCATTTAGACGGAGCCAGATTCATTCTGGTTGGGTCAGAGCCAAAGCCCAATATATTGGGGCTGGAATCAAGCTCGGGAACCGGATTGTAACTGATGCGGAGCACTACTCGGGTTTGTTTTAAAAAATTAGTTTATTTCCTAAAAACAGGTCTGAAAAACTGAAAGTCAAAGTTTAAACTTGCCCATAAAATATAAATACATATCTTCACACGTCAACCCAATTTAGAAGTACTTTAACAAGTTTTAAAAAATTGAACAAAGGCATATACCAATTACAACTTGCATTATTAAAATCTGGGTATTCAGACAGCCTGTCTGAGACAGGGTTTTATTGGGGTTGACTTTTGGGTTTTAATTAGTTTCAATAGGTTAAAATAAATAAAACTCCTGTTCTTAAATTACGTAACGCTTGAAGGGGGGAGGGGGTTTAGGCCCCAATGATATCGTGCCTATGTATGTACGTCATGTTAAAAGGTGTGGGGGGGGGGGGTCGAGAAAATCAATTTAAGAACGGACCCTATGCAATTTGCCATACTAACTGACAATGAGATTTATTTGGGTTTATTAGTGGTCATCACCTACCTACTGCTGCCATATATTATGTCTCACGCATTCCGCGTGCCAAAAACATCAGTAGCAGTTACGTTAGCCAGCTGTACTATTTTTTATTGAATCCCCCATGCAATTGTCTATCAGAAACGATGTTCCGAAATTTTTTATGATACAAGGTGCTTAAATCACAGATCGGACAAATCGACGTGTTGCAATTTTTCAGAAACATTTTGGTAAACATAAAAATCCGGCATTTTTCAATAGCTCATTAAAATTCGTAACTAATCGCAACCTCACCTTAAACTAAATACTTTCCAAAGTTAAGAGTATCTCTCATACGCAAGCCAAACTTATATCGATGCTGATATAAAATTTATTTCTTTAATACTGTCATACATACATAATGTAAATCGAAAATGCATACATACCACAATCGTAATATGGACTAGGATAATGTATACATAACTTGGAACTGCTTTTGTAATCCTTGGGAAATTTTTTGAAACTATTACCAAAACCCCACAATGTCCAGCAAAACCCATTAAAACCATTAAACCCCCAGGTTGGCTTTTTCTGATTAAAACCCTGCACAGTGGGCCAGATTTAATAAATTTTGGCCATAAATATATAGGAGCCGAATTTGATGAAACAAGCATTAGATTTTGATGCACAACAATAACCTAAGGCATATGTTATATGAGGAAATTTTTAATAGTCACATGCCACACCCATAGTGGGTGTGACCCTTTGCGACTTTTCGGTTTTAACGAAACCATGGCATGTGATATATCATTTTTCTCAGCTCGACGAGGTGGTTTCCATGAAACACCTAGACTTGGGAAACCGCACCCCCAGTGGGCGTGGTTCTAAGAAAATTGTCGATCTTTGCGAAAGCATATCATGTGATATATGATTTTTCTCAGCTCGACAAGGGGGACTCGACGGAATACCCAAAATTAGGAAACCGCACCCCCCAGTGGGCGTGGTTCTCAGAAAACTTTGGATTTTAATAAAACCATGCCATGTGTTATGTCATGTTTCTCAGCTCAGCGAGGGCAACTCGACAGAATAATTAAAATTTATAAACCGCACCCCCAGTTGGTGTGGTTTCCAGAAAATTTTCGATTTTATTCAAACCATGCCATATGTTGTATCATTTTTCTCAGCTCAACAGGGGGTTTCAACGGAATGCATAAAATCAGCGTTCAGCAACTTTTCGATTTTAACTAAACAATGTTATGTCATGTAATACGTCATTTCTCCAAACTAAGCGAGGGGATTTCGACAAAATATGTGAATCGCATTACGTAAATTAAGAAAAACCTACTTTGAAAAATTGTACTTTTTCACAATTTATTGCTAAATTTTTCAAAATTACGAAATAGCATACAAAGCTATACATTTTTAGTAATTTTATTTTTAGTAATTTTTGAGAATGTTTTCTTTCCATCGTTTTTGATATAGCCTTAAAATTATAAAAGAAAACTTTTTTACTAATTCAAATTTGAGTTGAACACGCAATCAAAACCGTCATATTTCTCAGCTCGATGAGCGGATCTGGACCGAATAACTAAAACTGATAAACCACACCCAAAATCGGGGTGGTTGTCGGCGCCTTTTCGACTTAACAAAAGGTTCAGTTGGCCAGGTATCAAAATTTTTAGCCAAAAATACAATTAAGGCTGAAATAAATAAATTAGCCTTCCGAACCTCAATTTAGGTTACAAAACTTGGTTAGTGATTTCTGAAAGCGGTCAGGCTTGGGCAAGATAGATACTTTAAGATACAAGATACTAGATACAAGATACAAGATACTACTCGTATCTTGTATCTTCCAGCCGCCCCAGCTCAAAGTATCTTGTATCTTGTATCTGGAAAATCCTCAATGAGTATCTTGTATTTGTATCTTGTATCTGATATTTTCCATCAAGAGGAAAGTATCTAAGCTACTTTTTAAGATACAAGATACTTTTTGCAAAATATGCTTCTCGCGACATCTAAAGTTCGATTTTCTTATGATTTATGAGGTAGTAATTGTAATTTGTAAGAAAATATGAGTGTTATTTTTGCTAGTGAAAGGTGTTTTTAAATGTCTAACTACTCAATAGTAAGACTTTCATTTTACTGGCGATGCCTAAATGGCAAAAAATATGAAATTTTACATATCTTTTTTAAATTAAAAAAAAAATCAAAAGTATCTTGTATCTTGTGGAATATTTAAGATACTTTATCTTATCTTGTATCTTGTATCTTAACAAATACTAAAAAGTATCTTTTACTTAGTATCTAAGTATCTGTAGCAAAAGCAGGGAATAAAGTATCTTTATCTAGTATCTTGGATTTTTTTCAAAAATATCTTTATCTTGTATCTTGTATCTTAAAAAAAGTATCCTGCCCAAGCCTGAAAGCGGTACCATTAATAATGCCAATGTACTCAGACAAACAATTGATAATAGAAAAACAAGTCGTGCTTTAATTTATGGCCCATAATGCTGCGCAAAGTTAGCATGCTTTATCAGGGATTACCCTTAAAATTATATGGGCTAGAGAAGTGCAAGTGTATGAAACCAAATTAAATATAAAGATATGGCTACGTTAAATACAATAAATAAAACAATAGAAACATCTTACACTCATTGCGTATAATTATATTTGTGTAGCAGGGATCTTGAAAAATGAAATATTGTGTAACAGACAACTTACTAACATAGCTAATGAGTTATTAAGATAGACATACATAGTTTTATATTTTTTATTTACCAAATGTATTTTCGATGAAAAGTAATGAATTGGTCACTCAATTTCATCATCAGATAACTCGAGCTCATCTAAATGCATAACAACATCAGAAACGCCGTTCATGGCCGGCTGGTAAATCCACAACCTCTTTTGGGATCGCCAAACGTTTTCTTTTGCATATCCTTGAGTTGAGGCTCAAGCTGGAAATAATGGGGTCTGAAGTATCCATGGATCGCATGAAAACGTCATTGAGATTAGCTGCTCTACTAAATTTCCGTGAATGTGAGAGCCGGAACGTCTTGTAGTACTTATTTCGGGACTCAGCTGCATCCTCTCCTAACATTCCAACAGGTAACAAACTATTGAGAATTACCTGAGGTCCATGAATTAGAATGTTGTGAACAGTAGCTGGCATGGGATACCATGGGTAGATTTCAACGTACAGTTGAGCTGTTGTCCTGGCTAAATTTCCGAACTTGACAGGGTCAAGTGGAAACTGACACGATAAGGCAATAAGAATAATATGGAAATTCTTGATTAGTTGAGTATCGATGCGAAGTATATTTGCAAGTACTTCAGCATCCTCGAAAGCCCGCCGAGCTGTATTTCCATCATTAGTTGTTCCGCTTCCACCAGGTTTAGGTAGGTCAACGTTTAACCCCAGCTTTTTTAAAATTAGGTTTGGACCTCTTTCTTCCTGCTTTGCACTTCTAACTTTTCATGCGTCGTTCGGGCTTGCCATTTCCTGTGGTTGATCTTGTAGGAAATGTGCAATAAACATTCAAAGAGTCGAATCCAAGCGTGTAGGGGGATGTTTCCGTACTGCAATGACTCTGGTTCAGGTTCAAACACATCTTTCCCAATGTTGCTAAGATCATTGAACAATTTTGGAGTAGCTCTGCATAATGGGCAAGTTTGCATAGACTTGGTTCCCGTGATATAATTGAGTACTTTTCCATCAATCAAAGTCATGAAGAGCGAGAAGTGAACGATCAAGGTTGTATCGTCTTGCAGCAGAATTTCAGTGGTTTGTAAATTTGAAATTTGAGAATCCATTGATGCCTTTTCCGTTCTCACCAAAGTTTCCGACTCTTTTATATATTGAAGTTTATTGGTCTGCAAAAACGAACTGATTGCGGGGTTCTGTTGTTCCACAGAATTGTGCCAGATGGAGATATTAGACGTAGGGGAATTAAAGTAGTGGCAAATAGGTTGTTGTCATGACAACCTTGTGATCCGGCAGAGATGAATTTCTGGGCATAATCTGAATGACCTGAGCTGCCGTCAAATCCCCATGAACATACTAAATTAGCTTCCAACGTTCTTGTAAATTCTCCGCCCATATCTGCAATAATGCATTCTCGTTGCAAGTGGACAATTCTCTTCGCTGTATGGTTCAGAACGCCCTGGAGGGATACTTGTGCCATGGTTTCGGTCACTTGAATTGAATCACTATCCGGTCTGCAATTTCCCTTTGCATTTCTGACCTGATTATAACTAGGGTAGATATCTGCTCCTTTTAGTTTGGCACTGTTCCTGATAACAGTATACTGTTCTTTGGAGAGGGATAAGTCCAAAATTAGGGAGAGAGCTTCTTCTGGGCTGAATTTAGCCATTTCAACTGGATTTGAGAATAGTTTTCTTCGAATCTTGGACGGGCGGGCCGGACTCCTTAATGTTTCACTGATAATAACAGCCAAGTCCTTCTTTCCACTCCGTTTGGCAGCAATTTGCGCAGCTCTCAATATTTTATTTGGATTATTTCCTTCTGCTGAACTGAGGTCAGCAGCTGCCCTTCTCTGAGTCCTTGCAGATTGTTGATTAAATGGTAAATTTGGTCTTCCTCGGCAGATTTGTGGTAGCCCTCCCTCCTGGAGCTTCCATCGACAAATCTGGCAGCTATCAAAAGATATATAACTTATAATTGGTGTCAGTTCGACTCAATTATTATTTCATTATCAAATTATCCGTGCTACTCACCTTGAACTCAGACTCCAGCCAATCAGCGTTTCTGCTTTCAAATTACGACTTGCAGCCTTCCATCTTTCATCATATCTGTATTGTAGATTTGTCACACTTCGCCGAAGTTCCTCAAGGCTACTATTCCTAATGTCAAATACTTCGATGCTCAATTTAGATAAAATAAAAGAAACTGCATTTTCAATATTTGTAGTATTTTCATCCGACGTAAACTGATCCACTACATCTCGCTTCTTTAAAAATGATGATTGTTGAAGTCCATCCATTATCTAATAGACAAACATAACCACATTATTATCATCTCGTTGGATAAAAGAGGAGACAACACTTGTAGACAAAATAAGAAATACTTGAGCTTAGATCTTAATTAATTAATTACATAATTGATTAATTGATTAATTAATTATGTATGTAATTAATTAAAGTATAGTTAAAGTCAAACAGATTAAACAAATGATTACCTAGGTTTTTGGTATTTAAAATTGACTTACCTACACAAGTCTTGTACTGCTTAGCTATATATAATTCGGATCCTATCTGTTAGACTCGTTTAGGAGGACAGAAGCTTAACAAAGTTAATTTTAGTGATACAATATTTTTGTTATTATTTCGACAAACACCGGGTGCGATAGCAATTGTTGAACTGCTAGCAGCTGGTTACATGTATACTATATACTGTTTTATGCAATGCTTTTTGTTATGAGTGGCGCCAATAGGTGGGGTTGGATGCATACGAAATTATGTTGCCCCATTGTTTATCCGTTTGACTTTAGCATGTGATTCGATTCTATACTTTGTATGAAGGACAACTTGATTAGAGAGTCGATATCATATTTTTTGGTTAACTAATTGCTAGAACTGTGTTGACAAAGGACGGCACAAATTTTGACCCAATTCCGGCTGCGCCCACAAATTTTATGGTTACCTCCTCGTCATATTGTTAACATTCCAGCGTTACTTGCACCTATCGATGGGCTCGAAATTTTGAAATAACTTGCGACAATATCATTTTAAAGACCATGAAAATGTTCGCATATTTTAATTTTATGATCTTAGTAACAAGTCAATTATGATGGTCAAAATGTGAAATGTGAAATTATGCATTACCAATGGTGATCATACATAATTCTGATTTTGAAAATTAGTGATTTAAGACTAGATTATGTGGAACGACATACTGATTAACACTGTTTTCTTAAAGTCAGCCACACCCACCGTGGGTGTGGTATATAAATTTTAGTTATTCGGTCGAGATCAGCTCATTGAGTTGAGAAAATAGAAAAATTGAAAAATGTCACACACCTTGGTTTTATTAACATTGAAAAGTTGCTGGGCACCACACCCACTGGGGGTGTGGCTTACTATTTTTAATTATTAAATCGGGATCTTCTCATTTACCTGAGAAAATGATACCTTACAAGCCATGTTTTAGGTAATACCGAGTAATTTCTGAGAACCACACCCACTATTGGGGTGTGACATGGGGAGACCTGGGACCTGGGGTGTGACCTTCGTGTCGAGTTATTTTTTAGTAAGTAATTCCATCAATAGTTAATAACGGCTAAGGGATCAGAAGTTTGATAAATTCAATTCAATTCGAACATATTTTATCTATTTCTTTAACTGAGAATGGGTGTGGTGGTAAGGGTACCTCATGGTCGCAGCTGGTCGCAGCAGTGTATGATCCCACCAATATTATCTAATTAATGACGCCAGTAGTTAGTCATAGATGCACGGGAATGGGCGGGAATGTTGAAAGATGTAAAATCCCTATCTCCGTAATGTATTAGGCATACTTTAACTGCTTCGTTTATCCGATTGGCTTTAATATGTGCCTTAATATTTTAGACCAAGGTCAAGTTGGTCACAAAGAGTAGGATGCCATACTTGTAAAGCCAAATAATGGTACTGCCTTAACGGCCATATTTTGGGGTCCCTGGCCCACTGTGCAATGGTGGAAAGTAAGCGGAAAAAATTGTTACCCAATTTTGACATAGATTATTGCATACCAATTGTGCTACTAATTTGAGTTAAAATGGTGTTGGGACTTATTAATTAGCATCAATTGATACAAAAAACTCGTGAACAGACAGACAGACAGACAGACAGACGGACAGACGGACAAGAGGAATTCAATAGCTCTCATGCTGCGCAGGGTGAGCTAATAATGTTAAGCCCCCATCTAAACACTTCAAGGACTTTGGTAATCCAACAAATGACGTAAGTACACACCAGAGGTCGACGCCTCCGAAAAATCACCAAAAACTAGCGCCGCCGCCGCCGAAAATTTGTCGGCGTCGACCTCTGGTACACACATATTATTTCCATCAATCAAGTACATATGTATGTATGTATAAATAAACACATTTTTGTAAGGCGCTGGACGTTTAACTTTTTAAAATTTAATAGTTACATGCTTTTTTTCGTTTCACGAGATTTTCACATACGTATGTATACATACGTATATACATGGTTCTTAATACATATATGTATTATACATCTGGGAGTGTGATAATGCAAGAATTTCAAAAATCAGAAGTAAAATTGGATTTCTGTGGAGGGTTTAAATGATTGAAAATATGTTTTTTTTTGTGTGTTTAACCCATTTTAGTGGGTGTGGGGTGCCAAATGTGGCCATGAGGTCAAACAACTTCAGGGTTTAAGTACACTCGTAGGATTCAACAAAATTTTTATCCAAGGGTTGTACGTACATATTTGTAGGGAAACAGATATTGTATTTTATATCTTGGTTTTATTACATACAATTGAACGGATTCGTTACATAAAATCCTCCCTTATTTTGAATTGTATAACAAGAACAAATTTTGTTAATAATTTGGAATTTTTTATATTACACGTCGACTTATTTCTAAACACATATTACAATTTCCCTCCCACCAATATAATTTTAACTAATTATCAAACAGTCTTTCGCATTAGGAAACATACGCAAAAGACGTCGGTGCATATAATCCTTAGTCGTTCCCCCATTTTCAGGAATTTTGGCAAAAACTTTTCTCACAGACTGGGCAGTGTGGTGGGTGCAACAAACCAATAACAATGTGACTATCACTGTTCCCCGATACGAACGAATCCAGCCAGGTCTCCTCACCCTTCAGAATTGTCACGTCGAAGACTTCCAACACTGGGAAATTTACGGGGTAATTAACCCCCCCAAAATTTCCGGATCCTGGCCCCGTTTCGAATAAAATTAGTGTCTTGGTAGAATTGTAATGGACGTAAAGATTTTTCAAGACGGGAAATATGGGAAATTTCCATTCAACTTTTTTCATTGTTCCCGACCAGACCACGCCGACCTCCAGCTTTTCCAAGGTGGGGGCCTGCTTCTGTAAGAATTTGTAATCCCGAATCCCAATGCAGAATGGTCCAACGGTTAAATTGTCATAGACAAACTACCTGAAGACTAATTAAAACTGATTTGAAAAATATTATAGCAAAAAGAACCGATGTGGGTCTACGTATTTGGAGACCACAAACTTTTTTGGCTTACTGCGGAGAAAATTCAGCAGTGCGCAAAAACGGACGACAATGATTTTGGTCCTGTAGTTACAAAAAATCGCGAAAGCCCTTGTTAGTCATCCGACATTGACCGATAGTTTTTTTTGGATTTTCCATCGTGACACAATAACTTTAATACCTACGAATTTACGATTTTTGACGTATTTTGGAACGCTTTAAAAAATTAGTCGAAGAAAATCACTATAGAAAAGTACCTGGAAGTTTTTATTTCGTTCAAAAAGCGTTGAATTCATTTCGTTGCGTCATTTCGAGCAATTGTTCCATTTAAAAAAGGTCTGGTTGCAAGTTAGAAAAATTTTCAAACCCTTCCACGAATAAGTAGGACACCCTCTATAGAAGCAGAATTGTTGGGTATGCATAAACAATTTGGTTGAAAAACTGCTCAAAAAATAGTGAAGAAAGAAAAAAAATTCATCAACGCCGACTGCAGTTCTAAGGTCAGTTTTGAGACGGTAGAAATACGAGGTTTAATGTTCTGTAAAAAATAAAATGCTGGGTTGGCATTGAAGCTTCTGATATGAAGTCAATTTCAAAAGCTTTAGGAATAAATTCGTTCATTGTGAAAGGCTCCGAGAACTGGAAAAAACTAACAGAAGGACTGGGAGTATATACAACGACAACCGAAAACCACAAACAATTGCGTCATTTAAAACTGTCAGATAAAGTCGGAACAAGAGGCAACCAGAAAATGTTTATGATTAATATTTGCCACGACCTTGTTCCTTGAAAAACAAGGCATTGCCCTTTACATTGTATTTGCCTAGGACATGGCAGTGATGGATGGAATTTTATTGAATTACTTTTATTGAATTCCGGAGCTCCGAGCTTGGTTAAGGAGTAGGGTGTGCTACCACGGTTTTTTGGGGTAGCCGAAATGAGCAAAATGAGCAATACCCCGCGGGTATTGCTCATTTCGGGTTTTCAAATTTTATATAGTATGATAACAGGGCTTTACCAAGAATTCTACAGTTTAATAAGTTATTAATAGTCAATTAAAAAAGAGCCTTGTCGAGAAATTCCTGAAAAAGCGGACTGTATGCACAACTTAACACATGAGGTCGTGACTCAGTTTGACCCCAAAACTCCGACTACCCCGACTACCCGCAAAACCCAGGTACAACCCCTGGGAATAATTTCAATATCAAAACCCCGGGGTTTTCCTTAGCCTGTTAAAGGGGAGCAAACGTATGACATCTCACGACATTCAGAATGAGATGGTGGGATTGATTTCAAGCAAAGTTACGAGCGGTGTAATCAACCTGTCTTTAAGATCTACCGGGTCCTGTTGGACTTTTTGATAGGAAATACAAATTGCGAGAAATAACGACCTCAGTTCCGTAACTTCGCGCTCAACTCGACAGAAGAATAAAATACGACAACAATATTTAAAGACAAGAAGCTAGTCAATTTATTTTATGCTGAAGATTCAAGCTGAAGATTTTTTTAACTCATGACCTTGAAACAACAATTCCTACACGGAGTAAATCAAGTCAGAAGTGATTTTGCAAACATTTCCAAGACAAGTAAAGCTTACGATTCTTGGAAATAAAAACGGCATTCTCATGCAAAAGAGAAGCGCCTCAAACTCAAGAGTCATAAAAATTCACCACCGAACTCCTGATGATGAAGGAAATGAAAATCAAGGATGAAGAAATTTCATCCATGCAATTAAACGTTAATTAGGAAAATTAAAGCGGCTAACCCTTAGTATATTGTGAAATCAAGTAGTCGTTTTTTTCAACTTTTTTTCGTCAAGTATGTCCCCACGGTCAAAATCATCTTCCGCGGCCACTGTTCCGATGAACACTATTTGAGCTCAAATTCCTCATTCGATGGATGTTTTGGTGATTTCTTGATATTTCCTAAAATTTGTATTCTACCTTTGAATACAGTAAAGTTTTGTCTTATGTTTCAGCTTATACCCAGATTTAGCGAATTGTAACCATCCCGGTAATTTTGAATATATACTCCTCCAGAGTCAAAACTTTTTGCGGAGATATTCCACACAGCATAATCAAACTTACTCTAAATCCACGCAGGATTAAACTTTTACAGAAATTGAGAAATCTGAGAAACTACGCTATGTACCAGTCTCAAACTTCCCCGACAACACTATTTGAGGGAATTTGAGACTGACAGTGGCGTAGTTTCTCAGATTCCTCAATTTATGCAAAAGTGCAATCCTGCGTGGATTTACATACTTGCAGGATCATCCCTGGGTGATTGTAAACGAGTCTTGTCTCTCACAAGCCATGACCGCCGCGTCTTCCTGTCGACATACCACCTGCTACACTGGCTTTCTTATCGATATCCTTCACACTATCGATAAGAGACTTGAGAACCTCAACAACTGCACTATTCAAGTCGAAACGTTCAGCAATCTATCACAGCCGTTTTCTAAGAACGACCTGATTACCGTAGTCGAGCGCGGGGTAGGTTAAGTATTCGAGTTCCGTTGAACTATGTAACTTCACAACTTTCGAATCTTCCTCGGATCTTGCCTTGGCGGCGTTTGACGATAGAGGCACAATAATGTCTGGTTTCCCCTTCCTTTACAGGGAGAATGGAACGCAATTTTACTCCTTAAGTCTCGTCTTACCAAGATCGTCGAGGGCTAGATCGGAATTTATGTTGGGGTAAGGATTTCTCCCGAAAATCTATTAACATATCGTCTCACTGTAATGTACTCTTTGACGACGCGGTTTTGGGGCAACCCACTTTCTCAAATGTTCCCCTCTATTCTTGATTTGTGAATTTTTGGCAGTGTCAGAATTATTTTTTCCGAAATTTTGCAATCGACATTGACATTCTGAAAATACGTAGCCAAGAAGTACATTGTCTGCCGAATTTTGTTACCTTCTGCAATTATCTTTAAATATCTAAGCAACCAGTCGCAATCTACCCCAACAGTTGAACCTAAGGATAACACGTGTTTCAATTATTTTCAGATTTCATCAATTTCACCACGAAAAATATATGTCCGCCTTATTGGAAAAATGGTTTGTGCTGGGTACCCCCTTGTGGACGAAGGAGAAACAAATCACCAATTTTACACCGGAACATGAGTGCCTTTATAAATAAAATACATGTTCATGTCAAGGTTTTTAGAACGGGAAAAGTATTACAATTTTGTGTGACAATTTACTATGATGCACATACATATTTGATAAAAATAAATGCTTTGGGACCCAAAGTTTGGGTTTCGAATCGAAACTTTCGATTGATTAAGACTGTTGTGGATGACGCGCTCGCGCGCAGTCTCACTCAACCCGTGTTTAATGTCTTTAAATGTAATTTCTAAAATCGCATCAAGTTCATGAGTGTTGAGATAAATGGGACTTTTGAAATTTGAATGTAAAGCTAATTTTTGGTACCACAAAACCTTGGTGTTTTGAAAAATTAGAAAATTAATTTTTGAAAAAATAGTGTGCAAAAATAGCAAATGAATTTTCTATAATTTTAATATTGGGGTCGTCCATAAATTACGTAACGCAAGAGGGGGAGGGGGGTCTAAGGCTCTAATGATATCCTGTCTATGTTACACATGTTAAAGGGGAAGAGGGAGGCCCTAGAAAATCCCTATTTTTGCGTTACGTAATTTATCGACGGCCCCACCCCCTCAAACGGATTTTCCAATTTTCAAACGGGTTTAAAATACACCGCAAACTTTCAGAAATTTGCATCGCGACGTGAATACCCCTAATAATTTAGCACGAAGATTTTCTTTGTATAATAACTCCGGGCTCATAAA